CCCTGGCCTGCGGGAGCCGCCTGGACCGCGGCCGGGGAAGGGGGAAGCTTTGCCGTGTCGGCGGAGGGGATGCGCCTGGGGAGGGGTGGGGAGCGCGGCTTCAGAGCACCAGGCGCTTCTAAGTCCAGTACAGTAAGATTTGCTTAGTTGTAAATTCTGAGTGAGGGATGACACATTTGAGGAGGATGGTGAGGCGCTGAGTGACTGAATATGTAGATTTTTCAACAACGTGCTAAGCATTTTTCACAATGAAATCCTACAGCTAGAGAAATCTAATTTTACCTGCACTAAAATAGGGTGTAATACACTTACTGGAGGATAGGTTGCCCTTCAACAATTAGTGGCAGTTTATGTGGCTGTCAGCATAAACTTCACCTAAGAACACAGAATAGAAAAACACAGTGTGAAGAGAAAAAAAAAAATATTGCTTTTGAATACCCACTGATTTCAACACACTCGCCTTAACTTGACTGAGCTCTTTAAAATTGTAAGCAAGACTGAAGGATTGAAACTGAAAAAAAATCTGCATGGAGTGTTATTGTGTACGGAGAGATTGAAGAGAATCTGTGCATGTACCTCAAGGGCCCTGTATTAACAGAACGAGCTGATGTTCTGTTGCCAAACCATAGCTCTCTAATTTCATAAAACCTATGTAACTTGTTCTGTTCATTCCTACCTCAAACACACAGGGTGCATAAACCCACCAAATGTGGATTCTGTTAAATTTGAGCTTTATTAAAATCAATTTCGATTTTATAAACAGGCTTATCGACTGCTTAAAACACATTAAAATCTTAAAGCTGATAAATCTCATTGTTTAAAATTGTTCTTACAATGATTGAATATTGAGACCAATAGAAATATACTATTGGACACAAAAGCATGACATGATAAAGAACTGGCGTTTCCCTAAAATGCCCTAAAATTTTAAGTGCCTTTCCCCCCCCCCGTGGCTGTCGGTTCCATTTGAAATGGGCGGATACCCAAGCTGTGGCAGCAAGGTCTTTTAGCATTGTGTTGCATAGGAACAGGACGTGGCCCGGAGGGGTGTTTCATGGGGGTGCGGTGCGGTATAACTTTCTCACTGCACACTTACGTCTTGCCAGTGTTCCCATGCAACTGCCACCTTGTCCCAAGAGGGCAGGAACCGGCTTCTTGTCCTATTACTGGAGGAGTGGCGTCTCTGCCCGCTGGGAGGGCAAAGAGCAGTGGTGGTCCACGCCTGTCTGAATGGGTCTCCCTCAGATGGACTTGACTGGCTCAGGGTCCAGCTGCAGGAAAGGAGTTGGTGTTCTGACTCCTGTTGGATCAGTCAAGAAATCAGTCCAAGGTCTCTGATACTTCCTTGGATTTCTACTAGTTTCCTAGTTGTTATGGACAGTAGGTTGTTGAAAGTATTGTAGCTACCAGCATTGAACGATGAAAATAAACTACAGTGAAATTAATTGCGAAAAAGCGTACTAAGCTGCCTAGAAACAGCTACAAAGACACAACGTGTTTCAGAACAAGTTCTTTACTCCTAGGCGTTGCCTGTCTGAACAACACCTTTTTGCTGTATCAGCATTTATCTTTACTGACTAAACTGTCCTAACACATTCATGACTGTATCACTCATGAAAACTGTCATCAGCATATTACAATAAATTTTTTTGCTGGTATTCTCAGCCATGAGTCACAGTTCAGGAAAGAAATACTGTCATGTGCAGTGCGTTGTGTTACCTCTGTGCAGCTGGTGCTCAATACAGTGGCTTTATCCAAATTCACAAGGACACGTGAAAGAGAATTTGGACTGGTACTTTCTCCAGCAAAGCTAACGCAAGGAGAGTGTGTTGTCATCTACAATATATGTTAGATGCTCATATAGGGCAAAAATGCTGGTAGAGTTAATCACAGACAGGCACAAGAAAGACAGGCCTGTAGAAAGTATCTGTTTGAAATGCAGTTGAGACGGATATCGAGTCCACAGATTGATGTCCATTGAAATGGCTTAAATTGGCGCAGATCAAAAACTTGATCATAGAACCATAACTTGGGTTGAAAGGGACCTCCAGACTCCTCCGGTCCGACTTCCTGTTCAAAACAGGTCTAATTAAATCAGGTTGCTCAGGGCCATGTCCAGTTGACTCTTGGACAACTCCAGGGATAGAGATCCACAACCTCTCCTCAGAAACTTGTTCTAATATTCAACCACCCTCGTGGTGTTTTAAAAAAAAAAAAATAAATAAAATCTTGACATCTAACTGGATTTTCCCGGGTTCCAGCTTGTTCTAGCGCCTCCGAGAAGAGTCTAGCTCCATCTTCCCTGTATCCTCCAGTTAGGTAGTTGTAGGCAAAAGTAAGGTCTCAGCTGTCTCTTCTCCAGGCTGAAGAGGCCCAGTGCTCTCGGCCTCTCCCTGTACATCACCTTCTCCAGCCCCCCGACCATCTTGGTTGCCCTCTGCGGGACTCGCTCCAGTATGTCAATGTCCTTCTTGTACCAACAACCCCAAAACTGGACACAGTACTGCAGATGTGGTCTTACAAGTGCCAGATAGGGGGGAAGGACCACTACTGGGACCTGCTGGCTACGACTACTAACACAGCCTCAGATGCAGCTGGCTGCCTCTGCTGCAAAGGTGTGGTGGTGGCTCATATTCAGCTTGTCCAGCAGGATCTCCAGATCCTTTTCTATGGAACTGCTTCCCAGACAGCCATCCTCCAGCCTGTCCTCTTGCATGGGGTCACTCTGTGCCAGACGAGGGACTCTGCACTTACTCTTGTTGGACTCCATGAGATTCTCATCAGCTTGTTTCTCCTGCCTGACGAGTCCCTCTGACTGCCAGCCCTGCCCGCCACCGTGGTCTCTGCTCCCCCCGATTTGGCGTCATCCACAAACTTGGTGAGAGCAAGAAGGCTGTTCTTCTGTTCAGCGGTGCTGCTCCACACACTGTCATGGGCTGATCTGTGCTGTTCCTGCTGCATCATGGAACCACAGAATGGTTTGGGTTGGAAAGGACCTTTAACGATCATGTAGTCCAGCCTGCCTGCCAGGGGCAGGGACACCTTCCGCTAGACCAGGTTGCTCAAACCCCCATCTGACCTGGCCTTGAACACCTCCAGGGATGGGGCATCCACAGCTTCTCTGGGCAACCTGTTCCAGTGCCTCACCACCCTCATAGTGAAGAATTTCGTCCTTATGTCCAACCTAAATCAACCCTCTTTCAGTTTAACACCATTGCCCCTTGTCCTGTCACTACAGGCCTTGGTAAAGAGTCTCCATCTTTCTTTAGGGGATAGTCTTTGGGGATAGTCTTT